TGTTTTACACCTTGTGCCTCACACCTTTCAAGATGAAGAATGTATCATCAGCTCCTTGGGTTTCTAGTAGTGGTGATGTGTTTAACTGGACCATTCACCATTTTTGTTCACTGACCATATGATATTGATAAGAAAGCTAGCTAGGTATAGAGCTCCAACCAAAGTCACAGACAAATTTTTTTAAAAAGGTTATCTGGTTGATAATCTTTTTTAAAAAGAGTATGGCTAAATCTACTATTTGAAATTAGCAATGAGAATTTTAACTCCATCAACACAAAAAAGGTGAAAACTGTTACTCAATTAAAAAAAAAAATAGGCAGTAGTTTTTTTCATTTGTTTCCTCAAATTAAAACTAGTGAAAATGAAAACACACTTGGTATGGCACTGGACTGCTAACCACAAGCTGCCAATTCTAACCCACCAACTGCTACCTGGAAACGCTACATTGGGTTCCTATGAATTGGAACTGACTTTCTGCACTAATAACAGTTGCTGTTAGTATAATAAGGAATTACATTCTGAAAACTCAGTTCTAATGCTTAAAACAAAAAATTAGATTAACTACATTTTGAGATAAGAGTGTATTAGCCATCAAAAAACAGATTCAAAGTAATATGGAATCTTGTTAAAGACTGGACACATTTGGTTGCACAAAAAATAATGTGCTTGAGGCAATTCCAGAAAAAAAAACGTTGTAGAGCTCTAGGAAGTCTCTCTGAAATCTACTTCATCTAATTGCCTCTATTTTGTATATATAGTTGAACATTATTTCTCTTACAAGGACTAACTGTCCAAATTTCTAAGTGCTTTGCATATTGTTGCTTAGGCAGATACTATTTTGGCATTTAGTAATCTACCTCCATTGACTAGATTTATCAGAATTAATTAACATAAAATGTTTCTACTGATGTCACCTGAACTTACCTATGTTGTGCTTAAGACAACTTTCACTTATAATAATGAGACTACACTTGCATTAAAGGTGATGTAGAAAAGGAAGGCATGTGGTATAATTTTCTCCTTGAAAGTAATGTGGTTCAGACTTAAGATTTCTGGAAATGTGGTAGACTTAAGCTTTCCTTAAATCCTATGGTAAAAACATAAAGCAAACAAAAAAATACTTCAAGTAAATTAATCAACAAATCTGTAAAACAAAGGTTTTAAAAAAATAAGTTGAGGCTAGCAGAGAAGACTATGCATAAATTCAGTTGGCAAGCAAAGGCAGACGTGACCACAAACACAATATGGCCATGTATTGGATATCTTTACAGGCCAATGAGCCTGGTGAGAGAGTTCACTCTACATACATAAAACCAGGGATCATGTTCCCATGTCCTGAGAACAGTGGTAAAATCTTAGAAAACCCATTCAGCAGAGGCAGGCCTTAGATCTTGGATAAGACAGGAAAACACACACATATGCACACAAACTTTTTTTTTTTTTTTTGGAGATTTCATGGATGGTAGTCAGTCAACCTGGATCTTGGGCTTGAATGTGTTGAGGAGGAAGTCTGGCAGGTGGCAACTACAAAATCTCCCTAGAGCAACTAACCGTCAACCTAGGGACCAAAGAACTCATACACAAAACTATACCATATGCCAGGAGCTTCAAAAAGCTGGTGAAAAAATAAAATGACAAGATAATAGAATTTTTCCACCAACTTTTTTGAAGTTCCCTTGTATATGCCAGGCATTTGTACAAGCATCTGATTTAAATTAATTCCTTAGAGCCCCATAACACTTCTTTGGCAGATATTATCCTTTCCTTTTTAATCAATATTATCCCCTCTATACAGACCCAAAATGATTATATTATATAATTTAGCCAAGAACACACAACTAGGCGATGCCAGAGCTCTCACTTTCTAATTCAATTGGAAACCTGAGAAATGAATAAAAGCCCATTTAAAAATTATCTGATATCCCTAACAAAAGGCCAGACTTACTGGACTATTAGAGATTAGAGGAACCCCTGAAACTATTGCCATACAGCCCTCTCTTTGAACTTGGAGCTGAATTCACTTCCAGAAGTTACCTTTCAGCCAAATAATAGACTGGCTTAAAAAATAAACAATGTCAATCACAGATCAAACAGTCAACATATACCCAACAGCAAAGATGAAAAGGCCAAGAAGGATAGTGGGCGCTAGCTCAAGAGAAACAGAAAACGCAGAATGGGACTAATGAGAATGCTGACCCACTGACAACTGTAAACAGCATCACAAAATAAAAAAACCTGTTAAATGAGAACCTTTGGCTATGTAAACCTTCACCTAAGACAAAATAAAATGGATTTTTTAAATGGACTGATAGACTTGAAAAAGAATGTAACATCTTCAAGAACCAAAATATGTACCTGAAATAAGATCAATGAAAGAGTTAAATAGCAGAAGAGATACAAGTGAACCTAGAATTAACAACTTGAAGGCAAAGAGGTAAATGTACCAGAATGTAGCATGGAGACAGTAAATATGGAAGAAAAGTTAAAAGACATGGAATATACATGTGCACTCAACTGGAATCCTATAAAAGAACAAAGGACATGGAGAAGCAGCAATATTTGGAGAAATAATAATAGGAATTATTTTAAAGTGATGAAAGATGTGATTCTAAATATATTGTTAAATAAAAAATTAGCAAAAGCAGATTACAAAATAGAAAATATCTACTATAGTTTGGTTTTCACAGTCTTTCATACAGAAGAGAGAAATGCTAGGATATTTTGTTGTTGCTGTTGTTAAGTGCCTTCTTCAAGTTGGTTCTGACCCATAGTGACCCTATATAGAGTTGCCTAGGAGCAGCTGGTAAACTTGAACCACCAAACTCACAGCTCAAACTGACTTCACAGTCCAGCTCATTAACCCATGTGCCACGCCGGACTCTATATAAAATCAAAAACTTTAAGTGAAGGCTTAGTGTAAAGAATAACTAAAACAAAATAGGTCCCCCACTCCATCATCACTAAAAGACTGTAAACACTGAAAGACTGTCTTATTTTATTTTGGTGTTGGGGAGAGGTGGCCACTTCTGAAAATACACTTGCCAGCTCTCTGCTTCCTTACTTCTAGCCAAGAATTTCGTTTAAATTGGTACTGGCTTAGTAGGTTCCTAGGAGCCTAGCTTAAATACACAAATAATTTTAGAGAAATCCATCTCCAACCCAGGTCTCAAAGAATTTCCTCTAGAAATGGCTAGATAAAAGAAGTTAAAGGTGAAGGCAAAGGTAAAATAAACAAAAAAGGCAACATGACTGGATCTAAATATATATACTGATGTTGATATTTAAATATGTTTGCTTAGTGCCTTAGAACTTTTGACCTGTATGGGACATGAACCATGTTAAAATACTAAGCAAGTGAAAGCTTAGCTAGCTTTCTTTTGTAAAGAGGAAGGGAGGAGGTTATGATATCACAGGCATGTGGTAGAAGCCATTAACCCAACTATCTATGTACACTACCACCTACAGGAGCGTAGTGGTTACAAATTGGGCTGCAAACTTCAAGGTCAGCCGTTCGAAACTACCAGCTGTTCGCGGGAGAAAGATGAGGCTTTCTGCTCCCGTAAAGATTTACAGCCTCGGAAACCCTGTACAGGGTCGCTATGAGTCGGAACTGACTCCACAGCACATAACCACTACCACCACCTATACGGACTCATGGTGTGGTACTGTGGGCTAATGTGTCAGACTGCAAAGTCAGTTGAACTGCAAGGTCAGTGGTTCAAGCTCACTAGCTGCTCTTTGGAAACCCTTTACAGGGTCGCTATGGGTCAGAATCGACTCAACGGCACTTTATTTTCTCCTAAAGAAAAGTGGGGAAAACAAGCACAGATGACAACAACAAAAAAGCCCTAACAAACTTAAGTACATTTGTAAACCACACCACTAACTGAACCAATCAAGTGAATCAAACTTTTAAAACTGAAATGATTTTAATAGGGAAGGAAACCTATAAATTCATGTTAACTCTCCAATGATGCATAAGGTACATTCTTTAGATAACATATTGGAAATACCAGTATAAAGAAAGAAACAATTCTGGAAATCTGTATGTGTGTGTAAGCTGAGAAAGGGTTTATCCAGGCGGTAGAATTGACGGTGTTTTCCAGAACCTCGTATTTTTCTATAATAAATCTATACTAAGAGCTGTCCAGTTGGTTCCAACTCACAGCAACCCTGTGTAGGGTTTCTAAGGAGTAGCTCATGGGTTTGAACCATCAACCTTTTGGGTAGAAGTCCAGAGGTGATCCTAAAGTTCCATACCAAGATCCAAATCTGAACTACTAAAGCATTTATTAAAGAAAACAATTAAACCATAAAAGAAGTTACAGGGAGAAAACCCTAAGTTCTTTTATGTTTTCACTGGGCTGGAGACAGATGGAAAGAACAAGCACACGTGACAGAAAGTGAGAAAGTGTGCAAGTTGACTGACACACTAATATAAAAGATACTATGAGAATAAGTGACAGAACAGACAGTAAAGACCACGACGAATGAGGGTAAAAATGAAAGCTAGAGTACGTGTCTAAAGGGCTGGGGAACGAGTAAGATTAAAGTAAAGGAACGTGAGCAGAATACCCACTGTAGGCTACTAGCCATTTCCTCCTCCTTGGCTTGTTGTTGATGTTAAATGTTGTCGAGTCGGTTCCAATTCACAGTGACCCTGTATAGGGTTTCCAAGGAGCAAGTGATAGACTGTGGTTCACAGTCCAGTGCTTATCCTACAGCAGTTTTGAAAATTCTAAGCAGAGCCTTTACTCTAGTTTTCTCTCATTACTACATTTGTCTCAGGCAGCTAGGAAGTATATTAACATTTTGTTAAACACACAGCCCCCAAAGTGGATGAAATTTATATGTACCATATTCTTTCAGATCCTTATAACCTATAGATCTAAGTAAATAATATGAAAACCTATGTAAAACAGCTTAACAAGTAACCCCCTCTATTTTCTATTAAAAGTAGCAACAATAATGCAAGTTTAAGGAAGACTCCTTTTGTATACCTGGCAGCTATGGTCAGTATCCAACCCATCCCAGAGACTCATAAACTGAGCTTTCATCATGGCTGTCGCTTCATGATCAGAACTTGAACGGTTTCGTAGAAAGGAATCTAGAATGAAAAGAGTTTTTCACCTTAGAAATTAATAATAAACTATTTACATTTTAGATTACCTAAAATCACTTAATCAAAAGCAAACTATATAAAAATTTAAAAGAAAAAAAGGGTTTAATTATGCTGTCTCAGTGATTATTCTGATATCCTCTAATATTTTTAACTAGTTTACTCTAAGTCCCTTCCTAAAACTACATTTATGTCAGCATATGTAAGAGAGATACAAAATCTGATGATGAGAAGCTGGGGAATAACTAAGCAGAGCCTTGGGATAAGTCTGTGCTTCGGTCCTAACTTTCTGGGTTATCTGAACCCTGTGTGTTCTTAAATGGGATCACAGCTTTTTCCTCACACACTTTCTGTTACGGGAAATTCCTAAAACACTATTAAATCTAAAAACATAGAACAAAATACAAGTTATGTGCAATGATCTAAAAATGTCAAAACACACATGAATGCTAACATGCTATGTTGTTGTTGTCATATGCTAAAATGAACAGGAGATGCTTGGAAAAAAGAATATTTGAAAAATAATCAAATACAACTTGTAGAGTTCAAATATAATGAACAGAATAAAAATCAAATGATGAAGAAATTAAACACATAGTTGAGGAAAGAATTGTTTTTTATCATCTATTCTTAGATTGAATGAATTTTAAACACATTTTTATCGTTGTAAAACAACTGCCATTTTAATCACTTTTAAGTGTGCAATTCACTGACATTAACTAAATTCACTATTATTGTGTGATCATCACCACTACACAGTACCAAAATTTTCATCAGCCTGAACAGAAACTTAATACCCCTTAAACAATTATGCTAAATTTCATTGGCTGAGAACCAGGAGAATTCGTAAAATGTAGAAATAGTCTACTAACAGAAAATAATCACAACACATAGGGAAGAAGGTTCTGTTTTTAAGTTGGCTGTCTTTCTCAACGTACCTCTTCCATCTAGGTCCATACACTTGGCAAGGCAGTGTTTCCACCTCTCTAACTCTTCTACAAAGAAGTCTATGCTCTTGAATTTACATCACATCAAAACAGCAGTTTTGGCATTCTCAAGGCACTCAGCTTATATTTCTTTTCAATGTGTTGGGAATAAAAAGATATTTGAAGGAGCAAGGGCAGAGTCATAGGGTGGGTACGGTATGATTTCTAATCAATAATTTTTGAAGGATAGACCTTACTATCCTCTAAAAATGAGCAAGTATACTGTCATGACGGGAAAATTTTTTCAGTTCAACTTTCTTGGCTCTTTTATTACTAATGCAGTTTTCTATTTTCTTGAGACTTCCTCCTAATACAACTCATGATCATCCTGTGCCTTGTGTGGAAATCTATCAAGATTCTATTACGAATCCAAGAAAAAAACAAACTAGTCACCATAATGTTCTGCATTAGGCAAATCTTCTGCACAAGACCTCTTTAAACTGTTCAAGAGCAAAAATGTCACTTTGAGGACTAAGGTACATCTGACCCAAGCAATGGTATTTTCAATAGCCTCATATACATGAAAAAGTTGAACAATGAATAAGGAAGACCATAGAAAATTTGAAGCATCTGAGTTGTGGTGTTGGAGAATACTGAAAGAATCATAGACTGCCAAAAGAACAAACCAATCTGGATTGGAAGAAGCACAACTAGAATACTCCTTATAAGCCAGGATGACCAGACTTCCTCTCATACTTGGAACATATATCAGGAAGGACCAGTCCCTGAAGATGAAAATGACGCTTTGTGAAGTGGAGGGTTTGCTAAGAAGAGGAAGACCCCCAACAAGATAGACTGGTACAGTGGCAGCAGCAATGAGTTCAAATGCAGCAATTGTGAGACTGCTACAAGAACAGGCGGTGTTTCCTTCTGTTGTGCATAAGGTTGCTATGAAAGAGTACCAACTCGACGGCACCTAACAACAATCATCTTCTGTGCTGACTGTAGTTGAACTTACTGGCCTAGCAGATCGCTTCTGGAAGCCACAGTTTTGACTGGACCCTTCTTTCCGAATAGTATTGATAAATCCAAGACTTGCCCCAGTTATGATTCGTTCTATAAAATGTCTTCATTAGCCTCGATCTTGATTAAAAAGCTGATGGAAAGATGAGTGCTTTGAGCTAGTTGATCTTCACGCAACACTTTTGGTACCCATCAAGCCAAAAGCTTGCTGAAGCCATGATATTTGCTTAAAACTGAAAATGCAGAACCATGTGATACTCTAACATCAGTAGCTACTGCATCAATGTATTTCTTCTACCAGTCAGTTTCTGGACTTCAGCTATACTTTCTTCATTCATCGAGGTTGGTAGGTTTCTCTCTTGGCTCATCTTTGAGATATTTCCAACCTTCATTAAATGCTTGATCCATCTAAAAATTGTTATTTTATGTAGGGTCACATTCCTATAAACGAGTTACAAAGTTTCAATGATTTGGGGAGATCTCCTGGTAGCGCAGTGGTTAGGAATCAGGCTGCAAGGAACTGCAAGGTCAGCAATTCAAAACTACCAGCTGTTCCGCAGGAGAAAGATGAGGCTTTCTGCTCCCGTAAAGATTTACAGCCTCGGAAACCCTATACAGGGTCGCTATGAGTCGGAACCGACTCCATGGCACGTAACCACCAACCAACCACCACTTGAGTTTTGCTTAAATTTCTTATGATCTTATGATCCATGGCACGTAACCACCAACCAACCACCACTTGAGTTTTGCTTAAATTTAAAGATCTTAGCCATGATCTCAAAAAAAAATTTTTTTTCATGGCACAAAAAGTACCCTCTCTTTTGAAGGCACCCTAAAGAGACTAAGCCAACTCTGTATTACTGAGAAACATGTCTGCAGCCATCTATGGATCAAAGAAACATTAAAAACATTTTGTCTGGAATACAGCAGTACATGAATATAAAGAGGACCCTTCATAGCAATACTTTTTGACTGGCCCTTGTATGTTAAAAAGATACAAGTAAATATGTGTGAGTGAGTGTGTATGCATATTACCAGTCTTTAAAAGCATAAATCATCATAAAGGAAAAAGACTGACAAATGTGACTAAGTTTAAATTTCTATTTAAAATAGAGCACACACACTATCATAAAGTGATAAGACAAATCTAGAAAATATTTGCAATCATGATAAAATAAAAAATAATTACCAAGATAAAGACAAATGAAACAAAATCTGGGCTATTTCTAGGTTTTATGGACCAGCAAAGTTGTTGGCAATTCACAAGAGACCCTAATGGCTAATCAAACTGCTTAAAAGTCCAGGAAGGATATGGGATGTCTCAGAAAGCAAACGATGAGAAAATAGAGGAGAGCAGGGCACAGGATGGTTATAATGCAAGAACGTCACATATTATGTCTTATTCTCCACATGTAGTGCAGTGAATTATTTAATGCCTCTTCTATGCACAGTCTTACCAAACACCCACCAAACAACATTTCCCAAACACCCACCAAACAACATTTCCTTATGTGTCTGGGTGAAATAAGGTGGGAGAAGATGCTGACAGGGTGATATGATACAGTTTTGATTGTTTAACAGTTAATTGTGATTATAAAAACTTGAAAATCTAAAGTGGGTTCAAAATGAGCCATCTCAGAAATAATGAAAGGAGCCAGTAGTGGAACATTTCCTCTGGACCCCAAGATCTCTGTGCACTGAACCTCCTCCAACCGGGGACATTAAGCTGTGAACCAGTGGAACCGAGCAGTAGCAAAACCAAGAGCCAGAGCATGAGACAGAGCTGTGGGCTTCCCATTCCTTGGAGCAGGAGGCTTGCATGCAGAGTGGGGCACTTAATCGGGGGAATTTGGTTTGCTGACCCATGGAATCAGAGTCAAGTGCTTTGGGGCTGAGGGTTACGGTGGCATGGTAGGCCTTGTGGACACTTATCAGCAGCCCTTAAGAACCTCTGCAACATTGTAGGAGCAGGGCAGAAGCCAGGCCAAAGGGGCAAAGGGGCCAGAGAGACACTGCAGAGGAGAGGTTGTCCTGACTAGAAAAACTATGTTCTGAACATTTCTGAGTCCAAATTATAACCTGCTAACTTCCCTAATAAACCCCATAATCATGAGTGTTGTCTCTGAGTTCTTTGTGGCCATTGAAATGAATTTTCTAATCCAGGTTAGTTAGAAAATACTGTGGGAGATATGGTTGGGTTTCATTTTTGGGGAGACAGGATCTAAGAGTTCCAGAAATGTGGACAGAAAGCCATGCTCAAAAAAAAAAAAGAAGGACCCAGAGCATGGATTTGAGTGGCTCAGGTGTCTGTCACTTCATAAGGAAAAAAGAAAACATTCTCTTTAGTTTAACAGAAAGCTCTGGAAACAATCCCCTATTACCAAAGAAAGAGTGACATATGGCATTATACAAAAATGGAGAGAACTGGTCAGCAAAGAAACAAAATGTGACAATTCTAACAGTGAAATTCTAATTGAACATAAATGAAATTATGGAAGAAACAGGTGACCTGTTAGACAAAGTTGCCATTTTGAGAGACTCTAGATAAGCAGAGAATAACAGTGAAGGTGTATTTAACAAATGAGAAAAATGGTTTTGACAAGAAAGATTAAGAAGTCCGAGAATAAGTGAGATGAAGGCAAATTTCACACTAAAGAAACGCTCAAAGATATTTCATAGTATTTAAAGCACATATGATAAAATGTGGGGAACTTATCCATACCTACAGTACCAAAGCACTTGCAATGTATATAAGCTACGTTTCAAGAAGGCAGCAAACTCTGTTTAAACTAGTCTAGGTAACTTTTCCTGCTAATAAATAATATATAATTTTCAAAGGAGTTCTGGTAATGTAGTGGTTTTGAGTCGGGATGCTAATCTCACAATCAGGTGTTCAAAATTACCAGCAGTTCTGTGGGAAAAAGATGAGACTTTCTGTTCCCATAAAGGATTTACAGCCTTGGAAACCCTATAGAAGGTCGCTATGAGTCTGAACTGACTCCACAGCACATAACCACCACCACCACCACCACCACCACCACCATACTACATAATGATTAATTTTACTTTTTCTTATATCTCTGCATTATAAATGATAGTAAAGTTTTTAATGGCTATGGAACAACTAATTTTTCCCACCTATTATTAATACTGCTTTAAGGGGTGGGTGGGGTGGGAAAGATGCTCAGATAAACAAGTAAGCAGGGAAACACATTTAAATTCATTTTTATACAAAAATTAACGACATCATCTAAAAAAACAAACTTTGTACAATGGTTTTAATAGTTTTAATCACTTTTCAGACCTGGCAATCCTAGTTAAAGTGGATACATGCTACAATCCAATAGTTCTATTTCTAGGTACTAAACTCTTGCCATGTATGCATACAGCAACATGTATGTGGATGTTCAGTGCACACTGTTTGTAATAGGGAATAGACAAAAATATCTATTAAATATTAAAAGACTAGAATTCATTCTAAAACACAGAAATAGTACACAGTATATTGGAATGCCGGTTATCCTTTTTAAAAAAAAATTGATTCAGCCTAATAAATGTTAAAATTAAATCTGTTTCTCTAAATACTAGCTATATAAATGACTTATTAAAGACTCACATACCTATTTCATCTATAAAGATGATAGAAGGCTGTAGCTTTATGGCAAGGGAGAAAACAGCAGCAGCCAATTTCTGAGATTCCCCATACCACTTATCAGTTAGCGTTGAAGGTTGAAGGTTAATAAATCGACAGCCTGCTTCTTTAGCTGTAGCTTTGGCAATCAACGTTTTACCACAGCCTGGGGGTCCATAGAGAAGAACACCTAGAAATTAACATGAAATGTTATTATTATTTCCATTAATAAAAGAGATGCTTACTTTATCTATAGTTTAAGTGATAAGCAACGTATATATCTACCTACACTATAATGGTTCCCAATGTTTAACTCTGACTTGCAGTCTAGTTAAATTAGTAGAAAGGTTGTTATTGTTAAGTGCCATCAAGTCAGTTCTGACTCATAGTGACCCTGTATAGGCTTTCCAAGGAGTGGCTGGTGAGCTTGAACTACAGACCTGGGGATTCAAACAGACCTTGTAGTCCAGTGCGTTAACCCACAGGGCCACACCAAGGTTCTAGTAGAAAAGTAGGCTCCATGTTGTAATTTCAGGATCAGTGCTACCCTATTTCGGAATTTACACAGCATTCACGATGCTAAAGACTATAATCTTGACATCCAAACTTATACTACTCTATTAGTGGTTAGAAAAATCATCCAGTGCCTCCACCTCCATAAGCATGCAGTTTGATAACCTAAAAAGAGTTAGACAACCTCAAAACAGATTGTGGCAAACACTGTTCTATTGCTCAAAGACTTAAGTTTTAGCCAAAACAATGTGCTTCTTTCCAAACAAATGGTCACCTCTTCTAAATAGGAACCGAAATAACAGACACTTCGTGGTTACTTCCAATGAACATAGCTGTCTATTAAACTAGAGCCTTCATTGACAACAGTTTGCTTCTAATACTTTTAATATATAAAGGTTCTAAACAGATTAGTCTCGAACATTCTGGGAATCATCACCAGCTGCTTTTCAATTAAAATGACATAGCATTTTCTTCTAAATAATATAAACGATGGTCCTAGATATAAATAAATCATCTACAAAAAGGTAATCTGCAGGCCTCTTAAATAGTGACTTAGAGCAGAGCTTCCTAATTCTTCTCATATGTTAGACTTAAACAGTGACAGTATTAGACTAAAAGCAATCTGGGATAAATTGGAGGAGACTTAAAGGGATCTATAATTTTATTAATCTATAATGCAATAAAAATACAAAAGTCCAAGTAAATAAATCTTTAAAAATAAGTAAATTGAGCTTGTTTCCAGAAACCTAAGAGAGCAAATTAAGTTCTTCAAAATAATGTTCAAGTATGTGTTACTGTTGTTAGGTACAACCTTACATACAACAGAGCAAAATGCTCCGTGGTCTTGCACCATCGGAAAAATTGTTGCTAGGCCACTGTGTCATTCCATCTCATTGAGGGTCTGCCTCTTTTTCACAGACACTCTCCCAAGCATGATATCCTTTCTCCAGAAACTGGGTAACATGTCCAAAGTACATGAGACTAAAGTCTTGTCATCTTTGCTCCTTAGAAGCATTCTGTCTGTTCTTACAAGAAATTTTTGTTTTTCTGGAAGTCCATATTCTGTAAGTTCACTATTGTCAACACCCTAATTTAAAGTACATCAGTTCTTCCTTGGTATTCCCTATTAAATGTCCCACTTTCACATACATATGAAACAACTGAAAATACCATGGCTTCAATCAGGCAGACGCATTTCAGCCTTTACAGTGCCATCTTATTTTTATCTTTATTTTTTAAAATACACACAGTTTTCCTACTGGTCTTTCTCTTTTCCTTAAAGAGTCAAGTTTTAACAACTAATCACAAAGTTTAATCATTTTAAACTAAACTTTTCTAAAGCTGATTTTAACATTTAAATCCATAAGCTTTGCCAGTATTTGTTAATATTTTTGGTGGTCTTTGCAATTTTCAAGGAACTTCATTAAGGTGCTGAAAATTTAGTTATAGCAGTTACAGTCTGGAACTTCTTTTAAACATCTCATGTGAAAAATAAAAATAAAAGCTTAATCTCATTTAATTCACATAAAGCTAGACACATATAGGATGATAATAGAAGCTTGGAATTATTATATTCATCATTTTCCTAACATACTTTCATTTGGAATTGACATCTACTAGCAAACTTTCATACATATCTTGAGAATTTCAGGGCATTAAGAACTACTAATGAACAGCCTTCAAAAAAGCCTTCAAAGGTTGTTGACTTTGCAGCTGCAACAGGACTTCATAAACTCATGCAGTGTATTTAGTATGTCACATCTGTTTCAAAGTATTCATTTACTAGTTTAATTCTAGTACTTTTGAGCAAAATTAAGATTCCAATTTTATTTTTCTTCACAAATTGCAACTAATGCAAAGGAGCAGCTAACTAGTGTTATTAATGAGCAGATACTAAAGTCTGAAGATTCAATATGCACTGAAAGGTTCTGGATTTCATACCCTTAGGATGGAGGGGTTTGGAGCTGTAGTACATAGGAGACAGACATGAGGAGTAGTCAATGAGCAATTCTTTACCTGGCTTTGTTACACAAGTGTTAGCTTTGTAATTATTTTATTCAAATGTTTATCTATAATTACTGCATAGATTATGTTAAATTTCACTAAAATTAATCTGAGTCACCAGTCAATCTACTAGGTATTATTTTAAAGTGGCACCTTTTTAGTCTCCTTTGTTTAAGTGCTAATTTTAAGCAGTTTAACTTGACTGTTAACTAATATGAAAGTTGGATAAATAAGTGGTTCTGCAAATGATTGAGACAGTTTACTTTATTATTTATACAATGTTTAATTTCTTCAGTGTAATCTATGGTTTCAACATTATAATTAATTTCAGCAACAAAAAAGTTTATTGTGTGCTTTGAAGAGGCTTAAAAATTCATATCCTTCTGCCCTTGCAATGTTTTTACTAAGGACTTTATTTCGTAAATTCTACATGTAATAAAAACTTGTTATTAAGTGCCACTGATTTGACTCTTGACTCAGTGACCCTGAAGAAAAACAGAAGTACTACAGCACACATTCAAATCTGACATAACTCTCATTAGTGACAAACACGTTACCTTAATAAAAAACTTCCCTTTATTTCATTCTTTTTATACTACTATCTCTTGGATTTCAAGTTTTAACAAAAATTTGTTCAAATGGTAGAAAAATTAAAATTTGTGAAATTTAAATCTATTTAAATACAAAGTATAAAATACTTGAGGGGAATGTAAGTCTTTATGAACTGAGATAAACCCTTTTTACAAAAACTATTTTTCTTAGATTATCTATATTCTTAAGCATGACTTAAAATAATAAATAGGAAGAAACTCATAATCATAAATCTAATGTGCCAAATTAATATTACATAATTCACAAACTTTATAGATGGAGCAACACTGTATTCAAATGGAATAGTAACCATTTAAAATTTTAAATGTTTGGGTAAAATGTTCACATTTTTTATTCCGACGCTAATATCTTACGGCATTGCACAAATGCACAATTGTCAGAGAGCTCTCACTTAGTATTTTACGTAATCTTATTGTTTAAGTATTGACTTCACTTGCTGAGGGGATACTGCTAAATGCCAGTTGGTTTCAACTCATAGTAACGCTGTACAGGGATCTCCAGGGAGAGGCTTGTGAGTTTGAACCACTGACCTTGCGGTTAGCAATCCAATGCTTATAATGCAGAACAATTCACTCTCAAATCATTTTTCCCGTAGTCTATGTGATGCAGTGAACACTTAGCTTAAACAGCAGAGTAACACAAAATTAGCAATAAAGCAACAAATATAACCTAGGTAACCTGATTTCTAAAAATTGAACAAATATTGCATGCAACAGATTTTACAACCTATACACTAATATTTATGTTGAGAGTCAAAAAAAGTAAATCTATGATTTTTCAAACTTTTGTTACTGATTAGAAATGTTCCAAAATATTAACGCTGAAAAAAGTACAAATAGGTAACACTTTAGATTTACCAGAAGATATTCTGGTAACATCTGATATTTATTTATCAGAATCTATTTGTATAACTCAAAAAAATTTAAGGGTCCTGGTGTGGCGCTGTAGGATAAGCACTCAGCCATTAGGTCAGTTTGAATACCACAAGGTTGGCAATTCAAAGTCACCAGCTGCTCCTCAGAAACACTATACAAGGTCACTATGTGTCAGAACCAACTCAATGGCACCTAACAACAAAGCTTATAAATACTGTATTGTTTTACACAAATAACATATGTGTTCTAAAGATTTTGCCAACCACACCTCCTCAATTAAGTGTGCTATGCTAGTTTTTTCTTGAGTGGGGATAGTTGTTATTTGCACAAAAATACTGTAAACATAGGCACTATCCTGATCCCCGCCATTACTGTAAGATAAACACTGGACTGCTAACCGCAAGGTCAAAAATTCAAACTCACCAACCGCTATCAGGCTATTTGTGGGAACCTCACACAATGACACACAACATGTTAACTGAGGTTTTAAAGCAAGTTCAACAGGTAAAGTCACCTAAGCACCTGAGACATGAATGATAAGAAATTGTTCAGGAGTGTATGATTCAATTGTGAGTAACTGTTAACAGGACAAGTTGCGACTGTCACAACTGTAACGAGGTATGTAACTAAAAGGGAGAGTATTTAATCTTTTATTTCAGGAATAGAGGCCCCCAGGACTAGCAGGAAAGAAGAGTATGAGATCCTACCCAGAAAAGTGGTGACAGCAGAAACAGGGGCAGAGGCGATGGCAGACAGAGAGAGAAATTATGAAGGTCATCAATGAAAAAATAGGGACAAATGTGAGGGCACTAATTCAGGACATACACAGACTACCAAACATTTTGAAAACTACACAAACAAAAGTAGACAAAATAGATCAATGGGACATACTAAAACTTAAAAACTTATGTGCATCAAAAGACTTCACCACAAGAATAAAAAATAAACCCACAGAATGGGAAAAAATTCTTTTGCAACAACACATCAGAAAAGGGACTCATTTCTACAATATATAGGAAAGTACAACACCTCTACAAGAAAAAGACAAATAACCCAATTAAAAAAATGGGCACAGGACATGAACAGACACTTCATCCGGGCAGCCAACAAACATATGAAGAAATGTTCATGATCACTAGCCATTAGAGAGATGCAAATCAAAATAATAAGATATCATCTCACACCAGCAATAACAGCAAAGATCAAGAAAGTAGAGGACAATAAATGCTGGAGAGGATGTGAAGAGACTGGGACGCTCCTGCATTGCTGGTGGGATTGAAAATGGTCCAACCTCTCTGGAAGGTAATTTGGAGTTTCTTCAGAAGGTTGGCAACAGAAATACCTTATGATCCAGCAATTCCTCTACTTGGTATTTACCCACAAGAAATATGAGCCATAACACGAGTATATATAGCAGCACTAGTTACAATAGCAAAATGATAGAGACAGCCTAAGTGCCCATCAACAGAAGAATGGATAAACAAACTGTGGTACATACACACAATGGAATATTATGCTACCTTGAAGAAGAACAACAAGGAAGCTGTAAGCTGTCACATAACATGGGTGAACCTTAAGGACATTATGTTGAGTGAAATTAGTCACAAAAGGAGAAATACTGCTTAGGACCACTACTGTAAAAGAATAAGAAAAAGAACCCATACTAAAGGGAGGGGGATTCTTTGCTGGTTAGTGGGATGCAGAGGTTGGGGTGAAGGGAGGGAGGGGAAATGGAGCACAGGGTAGGGAATAGACACAGCATAGTTTGAGTGCTAGGGAGGGGAGCAATAAGCAAGAAGGGGAAGGGGAATGGGAGAACAAGGCTGATGGGAAAACAATTAGGCAGGTTTGCATGGGGACAGAGTTAAATAATGATATATGCACAACCTTGGAACAGGGCTCTGGGATACAGGGATTGAGACATGGTTGGAATGGGCAATAGAGGGGAATAATGTTAAGATGCTTGGCTGTCTTTTGAATCTTGGTTTCCTTAGCATACCATTATAAAATAAACATTTGTGGGGGCGAGAGAGGAATAACCAGAAATATCACCATAGAAAGCTTGTAAGTGTGTCTTCTGCCTATAACTGATTGGAATACCTAAAGCGGGGCTACAATGTGCTCAGTGAAGGAGGCTTCCTGTGGAGACTCTGCATTGCATAAGACCATAGGTAGAATCCTGAACCATATCCAGAATCTTCTGAGTTGGGAAATTTCCACTCTAAAGGACAAGCAGACCAGCCTGGTGCGGCCAGAACAAAAGATACTTCTTGAAAGAAAGACTTACAGGAAAAATACAGAACAATAACGGCAGTTTGACTGATTACTACAAGAACAACCAAGTTGCTCGCCCAGGAGACATCAAGGCAAGTGGTCAGATCTCCTCAAGGCAAACCTCCTTCTAAGACTAACACTCAATAGGAATACACAAGCAGACATGTGCTCTGATTGGTGACCACGTTCATCACCGATAAGGGGAAGTGAGGGAAAAACAGCAATGAAGCTGCAAACTAAGCCCTACAATGTTCAATAGACTCCTGTGAACCTGGGTGGAGACCTAGTTGGCCAGCAGTGTGGCAAGACCTGGGGTCTCTTGGGCTCAGAGTCAGTGACATAGTCACAAAGGACTGGAATGGAGAGTTGAAGGGTCCAGCTGATAAGAAGATATGCATAAGAACACCCACACTTGCAGATAATACCCACTCGACCTGGCTTCAATGACTGGATGATCACAGTTCAACTATAAGAAGAAAAGGAAAAAAAAGAGTAATCTGATACAATATGATGTACTTGACCTATACTCATGGATGCAGTAGCTCAAAAGAGGGAACAAATCTTTGCAGCAAGGATCATTCCTACCCTCTCCATACACAGAGTAGACAGGGATGGGTAACTTGGACACTGGCTACCCAAAATGGGGGGAGGGGGACTACAAAGGCAAGAAGTGACTGGTTTACAAGCTTTCAAGTGGGAACCTAGATCCAGAGGGCGTAGAGGAAGGTAGAATCTCCACTGAGTAGTATCTAATCTGTCTAAGTGGGGCTGATGAAAGGAGATGGGGATAGGTCTCTTGAGGTATAATAGTGGAAAATTGCTATCAGGACTGACTGTGAGGGTTGGAAATGTAAAGTTAGACATTTTATAGCAAAGGAGGGGAGTGATTGACTTTACAGTCCAGAAGTGGAGGTCCCTGGGACCATCAAGAGAGAAGAGCAGAGTGTGGATCCCTACCCAGACAAACAGTGATGCTAGAGATGGAGGCAGAGACGATGACGTGGAGAGATGGAACAGCTGGGGACTCTAGACCCAGAGAGAGAGAGAGGGGCTGTGTGCTGACAACCAAGGGGCAGGCTTGCAGGGTATACCCTTTGGTTGAATGATGATGCATGGAGGGGATTGTAACCATGGCAATGAAATGATATATGATAGGATGAATGTAAAGCTAATGTTCTCCCATGTAAACTATCACATAGTTCACAATAAAACATTAAAAAATCAAAAACAAAAAACCACAATTATACACATGGGCTTCACCAGCTAGTATGCAAAGAAATTAAATTGACTACATCTGTAGAAAAAGACAGTAGGAAAGCGCCATAAAAATCAGTCAAAACTAAGCCAGCAGCCAACTGCTGAACAGATCATCAATTGCTCACATCCAAGTTCAGAATGAAGTTGAAGAAAATGAAAACATTTCCATGAGAGCCAAAATAAGACCTTGAACATATCCCAACTGAATTTAGAGATCATCTCAAGAAAAGATTTGACACATTAAACACTAATGACCAAAAACCAGAAGAGTTGTAGGATAACATTGAGACGAGAACATCATATAAGAAAGTCAAAGATCATTAAGTCAAGGAAGAAAAAAAGACCAAAATGGATGTCATAAAAATCTCTCTAAAACTTGCTCTCCAGGGTAGAGATACTAGAGCAAATGAAGAAATGAGGAGGCAAGAGAGCTTAACAGAATATTTCAAAGGGCAGCTGGAGAACACAAAGTATTAAGAGGTTCAAGCCAGATTCAGATGTGGACATGGAATGAGGGATATCACTGCTGATGTCAGATGAATCTTCACTGAAGCAAAGATAACAGAAAGATGCCTACCTGTGCTTTATTAACTACACAAAGGTTTTCAACTATGCGGATCATGCCAAGCTATGGAAAACACTGTGGAGAAATGACTAATCCAGAACATTTAATAGTGCTCCTGAGGAACCTTGGGGCAGCAAAGACGTCATGGAATGAAGCATGTAGCTATATGGGGGAAGGGAAGGATTGTCTGAAAAATATCTGTCTTGGGAATTACAGCTAGGGGAAAGTTTTTATGTGCCTTTTTGTTTTTGTAAAACGGAAAACCTTGAAAGACTGAAATATACATTTTATGTCTGTATTTTTTACAAATAAAGATGGCTATTTTAATGGACTATTATATTGGACTCCTGGCTGTTTTATTCTAATGGGCTCCTGGTGAGGCACTGTAGGATCAGCAGTGGACTGCAAATCACAACGCTGATAGTTCAAACCTACCAGCTGCTCTTTGAAAACTCTATTTTGTTGTTGTTGTTAAGCGTTATCGAGTCAGTAACGACTCATAGCGACCTTATGCACAGCAGAACGAAACACTGCCCGATCCTGGGCCAACCTCACTACTGTTGCCACACTTGAGTCCATCGATGCTGCCACTTTGCCAATCCATCTCACTGAGGGTCTTCCTATTTTTCTCTGACCCTCCACCTTACCAAACATGATATCCTTCTCCAGCAACTGGTCCCTCCTGACAATATGTCCGAAGTATGAGAGACGAAGTTTGGGCATCCTGGCCTCCAAGGAGCACTCTGGCTGCACTTCTTCCAAAACAGATCTATTGGTTGTTTTTGCAGCCCGTTACAGGGTCGTTATTAGTCAGGACAGAATCAACAGCACTTAACAATAACAACAACAATTATAATGGAAAAAAACAAACAGTTCACCAGGATCCTGATGTTCTTTTGAAAATCTGATTTCATAAAAACTAATTCTACAGCGGTCTGAAGTTTCAGTGTTTTACAACATTGTGAAGACTTTAAATGCTTCAGCACATTTAAATTTCTACCGTACCTTTTGGAGGCTGCAGAAGCCTGGAATTTTCAAACAAGTGCTTCTTTTTGATAGGTAAGATGACTGTGTCTTTCAGATCTGTAATGACATCATCTAAACCTGCTATATCACTCCAAGTAACCTGGTAAAAGGTAAAGTCAACATGAATTTTACAACTAATGTATATACAAGCATTAAAAAAGAAAAAAAAGCCCCAAAGAGTAGCCTTAAACCAGATTTTTTTAATAATAAAATGCTAAAATACACTAAAGTCAGTAAAGACTGTTTACAACACTAATGAAACTACTCAACTGCTACAGAACTGGAAAAATAAGTTTAATATTCTTTTAATTAAAAAAAAAAAAAAACTAACACTATGCTTGGAACTAAAAAAAATCGGCAGGGATCAGACAGGAGGAAATTTACTCCATTTATAAGAAAGAAATATTGCAACAAAATTGAGAATGTGTTCAAATAATTCAGCATTAGTTAATGAGAAACAACTCATTAGAAATATGCCTATTCCTTATATGTTGTAAATTATAAGAGAAATGAATTTTAGGTCTATGGTTAGTAGTTGGAGGGCTCCTGGTGTGACACTGTGGGATGAAGCATCGGACTGCAAGGTTGGTTTGAACCACAAGGTTGGCAGGTCACACTCACCTGGAAACTCTATGCAGGGTCACTGTGAGTTGGAACTGACTTTACGGCACTTAACAACAACAACATGGTTAGTTGGTTGGTTAGCTATGTTCCATTCAGTCTGACTCATAGCAATTCTATACAGGGTTTCCAAGGCTGTAAATATTTACAGGACTAGAAAGTTTCATCCGTTCCCGTGGAACGCCTGGTAAATTTGACCTGCGGTTAGCAGCTTATTTCATAATCCACTATATGAGTCCTAGTGTGGCGCTGCAGGCTAATGCTCAGACTGCAAAGTCATTTGAACTGCAAGGTAGGTGGTTCAAGCTCACCAGCCACTCCTTGGAAACCCTATACAGGGTCGTTATGGGTAGGAATTGACTCAATAGCACTTAATAACAACAACTAAGGCTCCCCTTTAGAATGGTCTTTACACCCATCAAATTGTATTTCTTAATTTTAATCAAAAGTAAAATTATGTCAAAACTTACGAGAATGTTTTTACAAACAACGAATGAGGGATACATAAAAACGGAGTCCTGGTATGGCGCTGTGGGTTAATACACTAGACTGCAAAGTTAGTTTGAACTGTAAAGTTAGTTTGAACCACAAGGTCAGTGGTTCAAGCTCACTAGTCGCTCTTCAGAAACCCTGTACAAGGTCGCTATAGGTCAGAAGCTACTTGATAGCACTTAACAACGACTCTTAAAACAGGCACAGATTTTTTTTTTTTTTTTAGTTAACTGAATTGTGAACCACAAGGTCAGCATTCTAGCCCACCAGGCACTCCTCAGGAAAAAAATGAGGCTTTTTACTTCCACAAAAATTTACAGTCTCAGAAAACCATAGACAGCGTCTGAGTGGGAAACGACTTGACGTCACTTAACAACATGGAAAATCTTCTGGATCAAGTTTAAAACAGTTTTCCCCAAAATAAACCAACAGAAAGGGATTACTTAAAAAAAAAAAAAAAAAAAAGCTGCCAACCAAGAATACTCTACCCAGCAAAAAAAAAAAAAAAAAAAAAGGCTGGTGGTAAAACCAGTCACATAGTTTACCGCAGCAGATGTAAATTATTTACAACTTAAATACATTTTTCAAAAATAGGATTATAAAGAAGAGAAGGTATAAACCAGAAGCTAAATCTAAAAATAAAACCTTAACTTTACATTCACTGTAGCTGCGACCTAAACCTGCCTGAGTCTGTCAGTACAGACGGACTCAAAAGTGAATACGAAAAGGTCTCAGGAACCATGTAAATTTTCAAATCAAATTCAAATCAAGACTTAATTGTGGAGTGGGTGTGTTTGTACGTGAGAACACAGATTCTTAAGTCTATAGATTTTTACTCTAGGTATAGAGCTGGGCAAATCATATTTCCACCTACTCAATTATGTCAGTGTAATACTAATGCATTACACAAATATATTCTAGCACATTTATTTATATCTGTGGTTACCAAAGAGTTACACAGGCTCTCAATTTACAAATAATATCTATTTCATAGGATCAGATTAATATAATCATACAATCACTGGATTATATATGAGGGAACCAAGATTCAAAAAGGAAGTCATTTGCCAAAGGCCATAACTAGAAACACTGGTATACAGAATCCTGTGTTTTAACTCTAGATTTAAACACCATAAATATAATACCCACATGACTTACAGCTGTACATTTTATATGCTACAAAGGCAAATATAACAAGTTTTACTTTACAAAAAAAAAGTTTATAGAAAAAGAGTTAACACAGCAGACCTCATACTGCTACTTAGAAAGGTCAGTTTTTGGATAACAGCGTTCGCTAAAACAGGAGTCTAAGTTCCTTCAGATTCCAGTAGTTGGTACTTGGCTGGTGTCTGGGAATTAAAATTTACAGAGGGCTTTATCCATCCTGATTAAGAAAATCTAAACTATGACTAAGAAACTAAACTATATTAAGAAAAGCTAAACTAAACATAAACTATGGTTTACGTTGGATATTTGTTTTCCTTCCAGGAGTCTAGAATTTTGGTGTAGACTGGGTAGAAGGTGCCTCCATGACCAGTCGTCAATAAAAACTTGGGATCTGAGACTCTGATGAGCTTCAATGATAGACATCTCACTTGTAAAAAATTATTGCTGGAGGAATTAAGTGCACCCTTTGTGGCTCAACAGGTACAACACTCCTGGAAGCTTGTGAGAAAACTGCCCTTTTACTTTAATAAAGCATATCCATGAGTAGATGACAAGTCCGGTGATTCATCCTAGGAAATCACTAAACCAAACACATCGTATAGGGACTCTGACACAAAATGTAGGACAAAAAGAATTTTTATGATTAAAGATACGTACTTGTAGTATCCAATCTGTCTAGATGGGCTGATGAAAGGAAATGAGGATAGATCTCTTGTGATACAATAGTGAATAATTGTTATCAGGACTGACTGTGAGGGTTGGAAACGTAAAGGTAGACATTTTGTAGCAAGGAGGTCAGTGATTAACTTTTCAGTCTAGAAACGGAGGTCCCTGGGACCATCAAGGGAGAAAAGCGGAGAGCGGGACCCTACCCAGAGAAACAATGACGCCAGAGATAGAGGCAGAAACGATGGTGTGGAGAGATGGAGTGGCTGGGGACTTTAGATCCAGAGAGGGAGAGGGGCTGTGTGCTGACGACCAGGGTGCAGGCTTGTAGTATATGCCCTTTGGTTGGTTGATGATACATGGAGGGGATTGTAACCATGGCAATGAAACAATATACGATAGAATGAACGTAAAACTAATGTTCTCCCATGTAAACTATCACATAATACACAATAAAACATTAAAAAAAAAAAAGATACGTACATGCATGTTAAGAGGATCCACTAGATGAGCAGCAATACTCATTTCATATTCTGAAAGCTTCACATTTTTCACACCAATCTGCTTCATTAGCTTTTCTGCCTAGTGAGGAAAAAACAAAACAAACAATAACCCAAATCTCCTTTAGTTTGCTATTTAGATACTGGCACTTCCCAACAGTCATGTGTGATGTTTAATGAGCAATGTACAGTCCTAAAAGAACTTTGCAGGGTTATTTTAGGCCCCTTGATCTTATCCTTCCCATTGTGAGCCTACAGATAAGGAAAAGATTCGAGGTTCCAAATCTACAGAAAGCAAGGCAATTAAAACTAGCTCTTGGGAAATGAGAAAATAGGATACATGATTAAAGAGATATAATGCCCACTGCAATGAGACTATAGGGTGTAGTTTTATTTTTCTTTCCTAGTAAGACTATTACTGCAGATACCTCATGATGAAAGACTGAGGAGTTAAGGACATAAGAAATACACATTGCATCTTTTCCCTTTATATTAACAAAGTATCCAAAACAGGCATCCAATTTCTTTCAAATTACTTGAGTATATACAGTTAAATATACTAACTTCATACTAATACATGTTCATTTCAAGTTGTTCTGTGCCACTGAGTCAATTCGGACTCATAGCAAACCTGTAATAGGGTTTCCGAAGAACAGCCTCTATATACAGCAAAGAATTATCAGGCCCAAAATATTAATGGTGCAGAGTTGAGAAACTCTGCTTCCCTCCTCCTCCAGTCCTGAAAATTTTACTTTAGGATAAATCGCCTCTGGCTTCACATAATGTATTTTATTTATACTTTGGATTTCCTAAATAAAGTCATCAACTATACTGTCTACATACTAAACCAAAAACTCAGTGCCACCTACTTGATTCCAACTCACATCAATCCTACAGAACAGAGTATATAAAACTGCTCCCAAAATGTTTTTATAAGAGTATAAATCTTTACAGAGGCAGATTGTCGCATCTTTCTCCTACAGAGTGACTCGTGGGTTTGAACTACTGCCCTTTGGGTTAGCAGTCAAGTGCTTTAAGCACCATGCCCCTAGGGTTCATTTAGTTTATAGACAGAAAATACCATATGGTCAAGTTTAACTAAGATCTCTTTTCTGCCACCAATCGTTTTACTTTAGCAATGTCTTTGTTGTTGTTGTTGTTAAGTGCTGTCGACTCGGGTTCCGACCCATAGTGACCCTGTATAGGGTCTCCGAGATGCAGCTGGTAAGCTTGAACCACAGGCCTCCCATTTCAAGAGGACTTTGCAATCCAGGGCATTAGCCAATAGAACCACACTAGGAATCTTAGGCTGAATTAATATAACACTGACAGAGAAAATGATGTTTATTGAGCCTACAACATGGTTGGTATTATACCGGATACTTTGCCTTCAATCCTAAAACTATGCTAAGAGTAGCTATTACTTTAATTTTTCAAATGAGGAATCCAAGAGTAAAAGAAATTATAAAAATTGCCAAAAGTAGCGCAGCTAGGAAGTGGCAAACTAGACAAAGTTAAGTCTAATTTTAATATTTACCACTTAGGAAATTAAAACACGATTGCAAAGAAATAAATGGGGGAAAAAATGTTTGAAAAAATAAAACTACCACTAAACTAACTGACCAAGGAGCTCTGGTAGCGTAGTGGTTACGAATCGGGCTGCGAACCTTAAGGTCAGCGGTTCGAAACTACCAGCTGCTCCGCGGGAGAAAGATGAGGCTTTCTACTCCCGTAAAGATTTACACCCTCGGAAACTCTATACAGGGTCGCTATGGATCGGAACCGACTCAATGGCACATAACAACAACAACAACAAACTAACTGACCCGGGAATAAGTTACCCAACAGTGGGGCTTTAACACCTTTCAGAGAGCCTCTATAACTGTTTTAACCTGAAAACCAAATTGTGTTTAATAATGGTTTGTGTCCATGCGTGCAATGCTTTATTGTTTGCAACCAGTGGGACATGTCTGGTGCACTTGTATTTTCTGCCTCTCTTAAGTTTGGGGGATGCTAGTGTCTCATTTAGTACGTACTGGTACCTAACAGGACAGATGCAAGGGGGCTTCAAAAAGTCTGTGGAAAAATGGAATTAAAAGATAATGGCAAGAGTAGAACAAACAAGATGGCGGATCGGGTGGACATATAGCAGAGAGCTCCGCCAACAACAACACAGAATACCCGACCAAGCAGGCTCAGGGGCTGGTC